GCTTTTCTCAACTAAAAAAAAAATCTGGGGATATCAGGGTTTATTTCTGTGACGGGTTGTGTGTAAAACTTGTTGTGAGATGCATGGTTTCTCCCCACAAGGGATATGAATGAGACTAATGAACTGGATGGTTATCCTTTTTTTCCTCTACATTCTTCTCTAGTGCTCACTAACTGAAATGTGGGGGTCTTTCTTGTGCCATGTAGAAGGACATACTGAGACAGAACCATCGAGGTCTTAGAGTTTCAGCAACTGAGAAGAATGTTTTCTTCCATAATGGCTTCCAAGGCTGCACAACTGAAAAGCCTGTGGCTAAGACCAGATGTTTAAAAAAAAAAAAAACTGTTCTGGGGAAGAAATTTGTAATTTGAGAAAATTGTCATATTTGTCCAAAATGAAGAAATGGAGCGGTTGCTGGCTGGTTTTAGTGAGTGCCTCAGAGCATAGATGGCTAAAGAAATGAGTATGAAGCTGGAATCCTAGAGTACATTTCTACCTCTTGAACTGTAGTGAAGGAAACTTAGATTAGATAGTGGATAGTGAGGCAGTGGGAGGTTGTGGTATCTTCTTCATTGGAGATTTTCAAGAAGTGGCTAGATAAGCATTTAGGAATCTTATTCCTAAATTTGTACAATGGGGTGGTCCAGGTGACCCCTGAGGATTCTTCTGACCATATCATTTTATGATTGACCTCTGTTGTGCTGGCTTGAAGCCAGAAGGTCAATGACAAGGTATCAACATAATCCTGGATGAGTTATCTGCTGGAATCAACCCCCTCCTAGGAATGAAATACAGAGTTTCCTCCCCAAAGGACAATGAACATCAGTCTTTCTCTTGTATAGATTCCACAGCAGTAGTCTCTTGCATGTCACACGAGCTTGCAGGAGTTTGTGTGTGATAAAAAACGAGCACATGCATGAAGAATTAAATCATCCAATGGACCTTACATGTGATGTGGACACCTATTATAAGGTCATTCAACCTTCTGTGCACACAAACTGTTCATTATTTTTGGAGAATTTGAGGCTTTCTCTCTTTAACAGGGTGGTCTGGCCTTTTAGGGATCTGTCATTGAAATTTTTTCCTCAAAAAAAAAAAAAAAAAAAAAAAGGATTAAACAAAATAAAAGGGTTTGGCTGTCTGATTTAACTGCCTATATTATATACACATCTGTAGAATAGAGCAATATCAAGTTAGGGGAAACTGTCCTAAAGGAAATGTCAGCATTTAGAAGTGGCATTGTAATCCCAACAGAAAGCCAATTCCAGAAGGGCATTAAAAACCTAAAAATAGGAGGTTGGAATCCTACAAGTTTCAAACTACCGATTTAATATATATACATATTTTTATCATCATCTTTCATATCTATCTATATATTAAAATTAAAATTTTGGGAGGCACAGAGAATACAAGACAGTCTCAAACAGTTCCAAAACGAAACTTGCCAAGTAGAAAGTACAACGGTCCCTTTGGCTCTGGCCCTAGCACATCGCATAATCCTTTTCTGGTAGCAACTTGTTTGGGTCACAGTTCACCCCGTCTGCAAACTGCTCTTTTACCAGGTTTGCTTCCTTCTGCTTTCTTCTTTGGATTTTAAGTTAACACACCCTTCTTATCTAAATACCCACAGCTGGGCTTCTCCAACAGGGCTGTCTGCTCTCTCCCTAATAAGGTTAGATCTGCAGCTGTCCATCATTTTGTTCCATAAGTTTAGTTGAGTTATCCTCCTTATTTTTCCTCTCAGTTGACCATACTCAAACAAATACTAAATTGCTTTAAACAAGTCTAGCTCTTACTTTGATAGACTTATATGAGCTTGCAGTTGTTAGTATGGAAAAGGCTGTTTGATAAATTTTACCCAAGAAACCCTGAGATCTAATAAGAGGAACATCCCTCAGAGACTTCTAGTACTGAAACTACAACTTAGGCATGGCCGACTTCTTGATTAATGCCTTAAACAGTTGTTTCAAGAACTTGGCCTGGAGTTTGTAAACTAATGCATCCTGGTGTATAATGTGTTGCATTTTAATTCTTATGTGAAAGTGCCTAAGGTGGGACGTGATGAGTGCCATACCGTCCATCTCAACCGGGACCCTGTAACAGGATGGTGTCCTAGGGGTCGCTGTGCTCTCCCCTAACATTCCCTCACCGTGCCAAGTTCGCCAAAAGGGCACCCTCAATTCTCACCCACCACATCTTTGGTGTTAAATATATAACAGGGAGGCTGCCTTTCCATCCTCTTGGCCTTGGCTTCCTGCTATACACTGGCCACGTTCGGTAATGTTCTTTCTATGCACCCCAGCCTTATGGGCTATGCACGGCTCCAACCACCCATTTACCATGCCCCAGGCCTCAATGATGTAATGGACATTGTTTGGTCTTGCCTGATGTCTCACTGGTACTTGGGCTCTCCGCAGCCCTGTCTCGCTCTGTGCCTCACTAGCGCTCAGGCTCTCTGCAGCCCTGTCTCCCTCTGCGCTTCACCAGCACCTGGGCTTTCCACAGCCTTGTCTTGCTCTGCGCCTCACTGGCACCTGGGCTTTCCACAGCCTTGTCTTGCTCTGGACCTCACCGGCACTCAGGCTCTCCACTGCCTTTTCTTCTTCTGCCTCACTGGCGCTCAGGCTCTCTACAGCCTTGTCTCGCTCTGCACCTCACTGGGCACTCGGGGTTAGCACACACCCAATGCTGCGCCCTCTCTGTGCTCGGGGTCAGCACACTCCCCAGTGCTGCGCCCTTTCTGGCATTTGTCGATCGCTGCCCCCACTCTGGGGCTGCTCAATGTCTGCCCCCGCTCTGGGGCTGGGGTCCCCATGCTACTGTGAGTCCCCTATGAGGCCTCCTCCTTCCCCTAATAGCCTCACCCAAGCCACCGGTCAGAACAGTAAACAAAACACAACCACCTGGGCTATAACATAAATCCAAGCCACCCAGCTACAACATTATTCTAGCCACACCAGGGATGCTCCATCCTTCCCCAAGCTCAGGCTGTACCTGCAAAATGGCCTCTCCCCTCTCTTTGCTCTGGGAGAGCTCTTTCCCCTTTGGCTGCTGGCAGCCAATTCTCTCTGGGCCTCAGGCCTGGAATTTATATGGGAGTTGGACCCTGCCCCTTTTGGTCAGCTGACCACTGGCAGGTGTGCATCTCTAGTTCCCTCTGGTTGCCCTAGCAACCTGCACCTGGGTAGGTATCTCCACTCTACGAGTAGCAGGCACCTTAGTGCCCTGCTACAGACCCCCTTCCCTCAACTCTCCTTCCATGACTTGGTGTTACTGGATGAAAGGATGGGTTCAGTGGTGATCCTCTTCCTGGGGAACCCAGAGACAGAGGTACTTACGGTCTTGATGCGATGTTCCATGGGGCTCTGCCTTCCCTACCCCATGTCCCCTCGCCAGCCGATTGGGTGCAGCCTGCATTGTTCAGCCATCCCCTGTACCCCTATTCCCCAGGGTACTGGCATCGGCATAGGTTCCAGTGGGTTAGCCCAGCTGTTATGACAGCTGGAGTTCCAGCCTCGGATGCTGACGGGATAGGCTTCCATTTTCTGGTGTCCTCCTCCTTGCCTCTGGGAGGAACACCTCCAACAATCTTGGAAAGTAGATAGCTGGGGGGGGGGGGGGGAAACTAGCCCCTCCCCCCCAGCCTAACACAGGGACACAGCTTTCCCTGCTCTGGATGCCAGCACTGAGCCAGTTGCAATGCTTCTGCCAGCGACTGGAGCCTCACCACACGTGGTGTGCTCCCTGCTGGCATGCTCCCTCTACTCTCCCCTGCCAGGTACTGGTGGGGCTTTTCAATCTTCCCACGGCAGCATATCTGGCTGCCACGATTGGCCCGGCATTTCCCCAACCCAAGAACAGTTGTTTCAAGAGCCGGCTTAACGCCAGCTTGTGCGGCCACCACTCCTGCTCCAGTTCCAGCTCTGGCTGCACTCTCAGAGGTAAGTTTCCCGGGTGGGGAGGGGGGGAGGGGTCAGTTTGTGTAGTGTGGGCCTCTCGGGGTTTCCCCCACTCCCTTCTGGAGCCTGTGGGGGCTTCTTGCTGCCACAGACCTCCCCCCTTAAGGTGCCTTGTGGCATCTGGACCCCTCATATGGCCTCCCAAATGGCCTGATGTTCCTCTTCATGAGATTGATGTGCCTTCTCAGCAGGCTCCACTGAGCTACAATATCTAGAGAGGAAATCCACTACAAAATTATCCTTGCTGGGACAGTGCATTACCATGAACTTAAAATGTTGTAGAGCCAGAGCCCAATGAGTAATATGGGTATTTTCACTTTGTTTCCTAGTTAGCCACTGCAGTGGGGCATGATCTGTCACCACCAGGAATTCCCACCCCATCAAATATTTAAAATATTCTATCGCCCAGCATATCACTAGGCACTTCCTTTCGATTGTGGCATATCTGGTTTCGGCATGGCTGAGTTTATGGCTT